AAAATAATATAAAATTTATAACAGTTTTGAGACAATTATCGAGGTAATTATTTTATACGACTTATTTGCCTCACAATTTAGTGCCGATGCCGTGAATATAATAAACAAAAATAACTGTGAATTCAACACTAGTATATAATAATAAATCAATTGTGACATTAAATCAGCTTGGTTAAAAATGGAAAAAAATATGAGCAAAACAGTCACCGATCCAAACGTAGACCAAAAACATAGCAATATTTTCGACCAATAGGTGGCGTTATATTCATTGATCTCTGAATATATTGTGTTAAGCGAACGCAATATAGTCTCCATTTCTCTCATACCTGTCCACCTAATCCTATAATACCGGAGCTGCCGGTATATGGCTCGTAATCTTAGCTTATAGTATAGGCATATTATGTAGAAATAACTCAATGGGTATAACAAGAAGCCCCAGAAATAGTGACACCAAATGGCAAATAGGAGTCCATTAGGTATACCGTATAGAAGTGTGTTTTGAAGGGATGTCCCAAATAGGTATGGGATGACAGTCGCCACCAATGCCTCCATAGGTATGACATATACACTGTTTATTGTTGCAAATCTGGATAAAAGTCTCGTACGTCTAATAAGTAGCATAACATCTGACTTATTGGTTAGCCCTACAGTACCGGGTGTTACCAAACCGGACATCATATGAAATACCTTCAGGAAAGTCGGTTTCACTTCATTTATGTAGTTATACCAGAATACCCATTGCGTAGTCATCGATGATAATGCGAACAAGGTGAAATATAAATTATTAATCACACGTATGCCCACAAAGTAGCCAAAATCACCAAGCACAATTGATAGGAATTTATTGTCGATGAATAGACATAACACACGGTTTACGTAGAATATAGTGAATGTAATGAACGCTACAATTGGTTTATGAAACCACGGTCTATGACCAAGGTTATTAGGGGTTTCAAACAAGTCCAAACCTAGTCTGTATAAATGAATTGACGCCCATTTGTAGCCAACACTATCGGGTAGTAATTTATTTGCATCAAACTTATTTGCCATTTATTTTTATTTAGTAATAATAAGTTTTGATTTTTAAAAAATAGTTTTCACAATATATATATATATTTGATTACATTTTGAAATGCATTTTTTACACAAACTGCAAATATATTATATCATTATTTTGTAATATTGTACAATGTTAATTATATGTTTATGAGAAAATCTATAAAGTTGCATTGCAATAATTACTCTAAACATTCAATTGAATAATTAGAAATTCACCTTGAAGTATAATTATCATGTTAATTGTTATTTTATTATTGTTATTGTATAGTGATTATTAGAATAGTAAATTCTAAAAAATATCGTATACTTTACTTAATTAATTTTTAATATTTTATTGTACAGTACCTTATTAAATTTCCTAAAATTTTATTTTATAAAACTTAATTAAACTTAAACCATATTATCATTAAAAATACTTTTTTTTTCAATAGCTGTGTTATGTTTAATAATTTTGAGCTAAAAAGGGTATTACCCTATTATCCATTAGCAGATAAACATGGTGATAGTACATTTTCAAAAGTTTATTTTGTATTGTTATAGTGCATTATATAACAAAACATATTTTTATTTGTCGTTCAAAACAAAAATATTATAATAGTTTAATGTAACCTTGAGATCAGTAACAACCCTATCAAATACATTGGCAGTTACGCGTTTTATAACCTTAATGACCTTACTCAATTAAATCTGCAAAATAACCAGATTGATAAAATTTGGAGTAATGCTTTTACATTTCATCTAGCTTACTTTGCGCATAAGACTGAAATTAATCTGAAAGGTAATAATTTGCGCCACGCTACAATTTCTAGTAGCGCATTTGCGTTTGAGCCGTATAATACACGTGATATCACCGTGCACATTGAAAACAATAATTACGAACATGTACCCGAGTCAGTGTATTCTGATTTAATTGGGCAAAATCGCAACAATGTCATTTACTCGGACTCCGATTGCCACGATATCCGCAATGATTGGCTTCATGAGACTAGTATATTTCGTGGTCAATCAAAATTTAGCAACTGTAAATAATTTTACTATTTACAAATATATTGAATGTGTTTAAATATATGATTGTAATGTAGCAAAATGTTATCATAAAAATAAAAATACAAAGCATTTAAATATTTGTTTGTTTTTTAAAAGATAATGTTAATGAATCTAGTTAATAATGTATTGTTACGTAAAGGCAAGTAAAGGTACAATTTACATTTACTACTCTACTTGCAATAAATGTAAAACTTTTAAAACTATTTATTCAAAATTATTTGTAATGCTATTTATAAAATACATGATCGTTTAAACATAAGATGATATTTTATTAATTTACTGTTCAACATCAAATTGTTTTAATTATAAAATTATTTTATTTGAATTCCTATCAGTGATAACCTATTTAGTCTTGATGGTCTAAAAAATAAATATAGTTTAAGCATATTTACTAATTGCAATAAATTAATATTTAACTAAATACAAAATGTGTTGGAAATATAATCTAATCCGGATTCTAGATAATATTGTTGAGGTTATTGCCACTTTGTAAATAAATATATTTATTTCAATTTATTGTTAGCATATAATGTACTATAATTATTTTTAAAATATTTAAATATACTCTAATACACATTTGGTATCAATGAATGAATTTTATAGCTAATTAGAGGTGTTATATTATATTAAATAAGTTATATTAAAATTGTTTAAATCACTCAATTACTTTTACAATTAACACCAATATAGATTTTATTTTAAGTAGGCAAGTTATAATAAATATAATACTAATAATATAAAATGAACTTACCCTTTTTCTATAACAAAAGTTCTCTAAGCAAGTTCAACTAATTCAGGTTCTCAAGGGCTCATGTCCTGATTATCATATGTATAAATGCTATTAATTAAATGTCATCGGTAACACTTTCATAATGATTTCCAAGTACCGTTATACAATAGTCTATCAGGAGCAAACATTGATAAAATTCCCATTTATGTCAACTTAATTATTTAATAAATCAGTGCACATAGCGTTATCGTTCATACCTATATTATCAGGTAAACTTTATATAAAGGCACATGTTTGTATCACATGAAAATTATTTCGTCCCTATGCTTTTCTATACAGTACTACCACACGGACAGGTATTTTTATATAATAAGTTTGTTTGCATTAGTCTCATATAATCTAGTTTCAATGTTAAGGTATTTCATACAAATAAAACGAGTTATGTGATATAGCATCTATGTAAACAATTACTTTGATACGGCATATTTCACTGTGTAAATAGCATTTGTTACAGTTTGCTAACATATTATCCAGTGTTAGAAAATAATTTTGTCATTTAATTGTACATTATATAATCAATAGCTTCAATAATGGTATGTATTATAATATTGTTTAAGAAAATATGTTAATTCTATCATATTAATATAATTGTATATTATTCCTGGATGGTATTTGTGAATAGATACGCGATAATGATGATGAGCAAGGTGATGTGCCTAAAAAGCAGAAATATCCGTATGGCGTCGGATTTATCATTGGAAATGAATTTTGTGAACGATTCTCATATTTCGGAGCTAGAAGTTAGTAATTATTATTAAATGCTACTTGTACAAATTAATATGATTATATTTAATAGCTACAATATTTAAAAATACAATACTTATATAATAATATATATTTTAATAACATTTAATTTATTATTCATTTAGAAATTAATATATTTTTTCTAATAAAACATTTTAATTTTTTATTCAGCAATTTTAATCATATACTTTACAAAAATACTCAAATACCCTGATGACTCCGCGATTGACTACTACCATATATTCACTATGACCTGCTATATGACCACGATCATCGGCGCTATTATTGCCGATACACTGTGGGGAAAATTCAAGTAAGTCAATTAATAAAATAAAAATAGTTACTTAACAACTTTCATTATCAATATTGTGTACATAATAAAAAATATTTCATATTCATTATTCAGGACAATACTTTATCTGTCAATCCTATACGCTATTGGCAATATTGTATTATCATTGGGTGCCTACGTTGAAAAAGAGTACGTATCATGTCATTCAATGTATAATAATGTACCCTGTTATAATGCACTATAGTGCATCATGTCACATTCGTGCCTAATTATATAAATTCAAAGTGTTGTTGCACGTTTGTGACAAAATTGATAACAAATACATTATCTATATTCCGCGTACAAAAGTTTATTTTAACTCTAAACCACAGTAATGTTATATAATGGTTAAAGTCTCGTTATAAGCGAGGTTCGTATGTACCTGTTGGATACAGATATAGATTTATGTTTGCACAATATAGATCATACATTAACATTCATGGGCTACAGAGTCCAGTTACTAATACCTAAAGCATTTGTAATTGTTGAAGATCAAAAATTTTGTTAATATTTGTTATAAATCATATTTGATCTACTACAATTAATAATTTTATAGGTTTTGTAACTGTGCTCTGTAGCCCATGAATATTGATATTATCAAAACAATATAAAATATTAACCTCTAGTTTACAATAAGTTGAGATAACTTTTGATAAATAAAAACTACATAATAATTTACTTTTAATAGTAATAGAAACTATTTTAAATGATATCAAAATTATAAATGACCTTTTAAAAAACTAATACTAATTACTAGCATACTTACAATTACATTAATTAAATAGCTATGTCTCATGGCTCGGATTAGTGTTTATCGCGTTTGGTACGGGTGGCATAAAACCATGGTAATTATCAATCGTAAACACGTGCTATTTAATAAAATTATATAACATGTTATATATTATAATATAGTGTTGCCGCATTTGGGGGAGACCAATTTGGCCCGGGTATGGAAAAGCAGCTAGAGAAATATTTCTCCCTATTTTACGCGGCTATAAACGCCGGCGGATTTTTGTCGACTATCGTGACCCCGATGTTAAGGGAAGACGTCAAGTGTTTCGATAGGGACTCCTGTTTTCCGTTAGCTTTCGGAGTACCGGCTATACTGATGGTGGTGGCGCTCGTGCTGTTTATCGCCGGCAGGTTTATCTGCAATTATAATATGATCCCTCCCAAGAAGGATAGTGTCATCGTGCAAGTATTTTCATGTGTTTTTGTGAGTACCTTGTTTAATATTTTAAAAATGTTGTTCTCGCTTATGTATATTTAAATTTAATTTTTTTAAAAAATTATTTAGACATCGTTGTATAGAAAATTGTTTACACGTCGACCAAAAAGGGACCACTGGATAGATTACGCTGATGATAAATTTGATGTATGTTTATTGTATTTTCAATTGCGCTTGATGTATGAGTTAGAGTACATATAATATTGTATTGTTTATAATTACTGTTATCAGGCACAAACAATAACTGATATTAAAGGCTTGATGAGAGTGTGCTTTCTATTTATACCTTTGCCTATATTTTGGGCACTGTATAATCAACAGGTATATTTTTATAATTTCACTAGTTTACATGAAAATATAATATGATTTATTAAAAAAAATATTCATCAGGGTTCAGTATGGACACTGCAAGCTATTAAAATGAACGGAAACCTATTTGGCTCATACACAATTAAACCTGATCAAATACAAGTGATAAATCCCGTATTAATCATTGTATTTATTCCTATATTTGAATACGTCATCTACCCATTATGCGCAAAAATGAACTTGCTCAAAAAACCACTGCAACGCATGGTGTGCGGGGGTGTTTTAGCGGCAATATCCTACGTGATATGCGGGTTCATACAGATATGGGTGGAAACTAAGCCAGATGGTAGCGTGAATATATTGTGGCAACTGATCCCTTATATTGTGATAACCGCCGCCGAGATTATGTTCTCGATCACCGGTTTAGAGTTTTCGTATCAACAGGTACATTTGTGTTTAAGTTTTAATTTTTAGATTTTAAAATATTTTAAATTTAATCTAGGCGCCAAAAAGTATGAAATCCGTAATACAGGCTGTTTATACTACCACGGTAGCATTTGGGGATATTATTGTCATTATCATATCGTCCGCGAAGTTATTCGAAAAGGAGGTTGGTAACTATGATTGTAACTAGTAACTAGGTTAAATTGGCTAGTAGTAAAATTGATGTAGCAAATGTAACCTAGTAAATAGTTATTAGATTATTAATTATTATTTTAATTGAATATAACTAACAGTTAGTTAAGAATGCAAGTGATTTTTAGCATTCATAATATGCCACATTTTGAAAAAATAATTATACCAGTATGGTCATATTTTAATTTAATATTATTTGTCCATAAAATAGTCAAACACGTTTTTCTTTTTTGGCGGTTTAATGGTTGCCGATATGATTGCATTCGCGATTATGGCCTATTATTACGTGCCATACAAACAACCTAGTCCAATTAATAATAGCGATAGTGATGTTGATGAAAGTGACATTCCGAAGGATTCCATTAAGAATAAGCAATAGTTTTATTTTATTATATTTAACTTAAATTTTATTTATTAATTAAATTTATTGTGAATCAGCGATTATATTATATGCTGTGTATGTTACGTTAAATATATTAAAATAATATATTTATTCATTTTATCAAGCTGTATTTTAAATAATTTGTAAATAAAAAACGAAATAATAATACTGTATATTTGGTGATTGAATATTTTACTATTTATTATCAAGGCAAATGTGTATTATTTTTTTGAAAAAATCTAATGTGTCTGTTTTTGAATATTTTACTTAAATTAAAAATTATTAATATAAATACTTTTTATAAAATTATTGATTTTATTCATTAATATTTTAAGATAATAAAGGTTTATAATACATGATATAATTACGGTAAAATCGTACTACCATTAGTAAAATAATTTAGTAACATTTAATAAAACTATTAAAATATATAGAATTTTATTTAACAATATTTATTTAGCTTAATATATTAAATAATGATATTGTTCAATTAGTTGATACACTTAATAATTTAATAATTGGCATAAAAATAATTAATCATCTGTATTAAATAAATCATTTTGTGCTAAATTATTTATATTAATTATACGCGCGTACAAATCCCAAACCTATCCCGCACACATTTCTTAGCCTAACCTAACCTAACCAATCCAGCGACTGCCAGCATTATGTGTCTTATCCGGATTGGCAAATTCGACCGGAAGGTGATAGGGTTAGGTAGCCAGGTGAAAAGCCTTAGTAACTACGCTCTTAATGAGCCTTGATTGTTTATGTCTTCGCTCATTAGGTTGGTTTATTTTAAAAAAGTCGTACAGTATTTGTTTTAGTCCCGAGCCAGATGTTTCAGATTTACTTTTCACAAATATTGTTACATTATTTTGTGGCCGTTTATGGTTATATGGTTAAGTGAGTTTGAAAGCTCA